TGTAGATGCATGAATACATGTACATGTATGTGCAAATGCACGTGCACGTGAATGTGTAAGATTCCCCGATCAGAGCTTGCCTCTGTAGGGGTCCGAGAAGATTCATATGGTTAGGTGAGCTTTGCCGCCGACATCCGCGGCCCGCCCGGGTGCCCGGGTGCCCTATAGCCCCATAGCCTTATATCCCTATAACCCCATAGCCCAATAGCCCTATAGTCTTACAGCCCAATAGCCCTACAGCCCTATATCCCAACAACCCTATAGCCCTATAGCCTTGTAGCCTTAGAGCCCTATAGCTCTATATGTCTATAGCCCTATAACCCCATTGCCCTATATCCCTATAGCCGTATAGCCCTTATGGTCCTATAGCCCCATATCCCTATAGACTCATATATTTATGTCCGTATGGCCCATAGCCCTATAGCCCTACAGCCCTATAGACCTATAGCCCTACAACCATATAGCTCTATAGACCTGTAGCCCAATGGCCGTATAGCCCTATGTTTCCATAGCCCTATAGCCCCATACCCGTATAGCCCAATAGCCCCATAGCACTAACAAGACTTGGATTCGGCCTTTCTCATGTACCATGTATACGCATGTATACACATACGTGTACACATACATGTAAATATGCTGTACATGTATACGCAACTGCACCCAAGAGCTGCCTTGCCTTCACTGTCTTAGCCTGCCCTGGAACCTACTGCAGGTACTTTGTGCACACGCTGCCTTGGTAAATACAACAGTGAAACATGCTGCGCAAATGCGCTGTGCGGAGAGACAGATGAGGGTCGTGTAAGACAGAGAATAACAACATAACAGTGCGAAGGGCTTCCACCTCGGCTTCCCAACTGTCGGCCAGAAGCGGCCGCCACAAGCAGCCGAAAGCCAGCAGCTGCGACGACGAGTCCGCGGCCGTACGAACTCGGAGCACGAAGCCGATCCCTGCCTGGCCTCGCTTCCGCCAGCCCCCATCTGAATGCATGAGACAGTGATGGGGCACAGCGAGGAGGGAGGACCAAGAAGGGCTGAGACAGAAAACGATTCGTGGCTGTCCATGGCGAGATTACACAACCAATCAGCTTCGGTGTTAAAACCACGACGCCTCCGAATCAGGGGGGATCAACCGGCCGAGGGGCCCTCCGCCCGTTCATAAATTCATGCAACAACAAATCCGCAAACGAGGACAACATGTCTATGTGTTCAAACCTGCAGAAGGAAGAACCGTTTAGGGCCCCAGGTAGAGGTTCGTTGTCTACAACACACTGGAAGAATTGGGTCGCTACTGCAGGCGGGACCCACGAACAGTCACTCGGAAAAGGCGAGGGTGCAAGGGCAGAGGAAACGCTCTCAAACGACCAGGACGACGCACCACTGCAGGGCCATTGCAGGTTCATCGGGCGCTTGACGGGGCCTTTTACGCTCAGAGCTGTCGGAAGGGTCATGGTCACGTTTTCGTTTGGCTTGGCGTGGTAGGCTGTTTCCTCCCTCTGGCATCCTGCGAGCGACGTCCACCTGGCGAGCGAAGTCGCGATTCCAACGCCGGAAGCGCCATCGTGCACATGCTGTTTATGAACTCGTCCTCCGTAGATTTCCAAGAAGTCGCCCCTGCCTCCATCAGAACCTCCCAATCCCTGAAATATTTACCCCGCAAGTCTTCGAATTGAGCCACAGGGGACCCGGGCCCGGGCGACGAAATCTCCACTCTCCAGGAATGTCCTCGTGCACGCTAGCACTATGACGAGCCTCGACCAAACCCACCGCGTGTTCCCACCCGCGGAACAGAGCTAGCTCACGAAGCGCGTACTCTGGCAGACGATAGGCATCCATACCGGCATCCATACCCCAAGACCAACGAAACAAACGATAACGCCAACGATGGCATAGACGCAACTGGCGGTGGTGAACATGTGGGACTCTCCAGGTGGCGAACCGGTCCTCCAGAAGCCTAGCAGTACAAACCTTATAACCGTGATGGCCTTCCCGCGAGCGTCCTGGCGTAAAAAAACTGGGCGCCCAGGAAACAAACAACGACAGCCAGATCCCTACCGCGTGCGAAGCTGTTGGAACCACACTGCAAACACTGAAAAGGAAACCTTTCGGGAAACGACATTACGTCGTGGATTGATGTGTTGCTGATGTGTCAGGAGGGCGTCGAAGCAAACAACATAGCATCGAGGAAACTGCAGCGACGGCCAAGTTCGCCATAAGTGTGCAACGGTTGGAAGCACAATGCAAGCAATGGAAAGGCGAAGGTGCCGAACGCGATATCACTTCCTGCATTCGGGCGCCCGTGCAGCGCGCTATCAGCGAGGCGGCCCGAGAAAAGGCCTGCCAGAAGACCCCAAGAGGCATCGAAGAGCTTCCAATCCACAGCCCAGGCACGGTGGCCCGTTAGGCCTAAGGCCACGTTGTATACATATACATGTATGTGACTGGAGCTATGTATCTATTCACATGTATTACATATGTATGTCCATATGGAGAGAGAAAGATAGACACACACGCACACACACACACACACACGCACACGCACACGCACACGCACACACACACACACACGGCAAGCAAATGCGGCTCTGGACCAAAACTGCCATGTCGGCGGGATCTAGGCATATAAACCGCCGGCTCTTCTTCAAAGACCCCCCTCGCAAGTCTTGCAGTATACCTCTTCGTCGTCTTCCTCCTCCCTCCCCCCCGGGGGGGTCGACCCCAAACCAGGAATTGTTCAGGGTGGGGGGCCGTAAACCCCTCACACTCCTCCGAACGCACACAGAAGACGCCGTTTCTAATCACGGGTGGGGCATGGCAGAATCCTCCATCGACTCCTCCTCCTCCTCCTCCTCCTCCTCGCTCCCCTCGCCACTCGTCCTCGACAATATCCTCCTCCTCCTCCTCGTGTTTCACCAGTTTCACCATCTGCCAAAGATTGTTTCACCAGTTCCACCATCTGCCAAGGATCCGCAGTGCCAGAGGCGGCGCAGAACCTGAGCAAAAAGAAGGAGAACAAGAGAGAGAGAGAGAGGAAACAAGACAAGCGCGCTGCAGGCCCCCCCGCCCAGGCCTCCGCCGAGGGGACCCGAGAAGTCCCCCTTGGGCGGAGGCCCAAGCGGGGAAGCCAACGCCCCTGTCAAGCTTCAGCGAGAGCTCTGGCCTGACTCGAAGCCGCCTCAGCTCCAGCGGACGCGGGGACGCTGGCCTGTCCAGAGGGCAACGCTGCGCCCAAAGCTCCGACGGCTCGTCGGATCCACGCCCCGCCGAAGCAGATGCAGAGACTTCGCAGTCGCCTCATTCTGGGGCCGATTCCTGCAAGGCTCCGAAAGCAAATTCATTCGATGCCTGGCGTAGCAGCCGCACCTGGAACACCAAGTCATCGGGAGCCTGACGCCAGGATCCCCTCCCCTCGACAGATAGGAGGAGGAGGAGGATAGGAGGAGGAGGAGGAGGAGGAGGAGGAGGAGGAGAAGGATAGGAGGAGGAGGAGGAGGAGGAGGAGGAGGGAGGAGGAGGAGGAGGAGGAGGAGAGGATAGGAGGAGGAGGAGGAGAGGAGGAGGAGGAGGAGGAGGAGGAGGGGACATGAGCCTGGCGACAGATCCTGGGCATTCCAGCGCAGCGAAAACTGGCGAGAAGGGGGTCCAGCTGCGGCCTCGCTCCGGGCAATCTCGCGCACGGCCACCCCTTTTCCCCCACCGCCCCAATACGTGTCCGTTGTCCTCCTCCTCCTCCTCCTCCTCCTCCTCCTCCTCCTCCTCCTCCTCCTCCTCTCTCTCCTCTCCTCCTCCTCCTCCTCAAAAGGGGCACTTGGGTCCCAAGGGGCCTGGGCCGCTTGGCCACAACTCTGGAGACATCTCGGAGCGTCGGCCTGCCAGCAACCTCGAGCATCGCCCCATGTGAACCTACACAGAATGTGCAACTTATCCCGCTGCTCGATGTACTGTCCCCGCAACGAGAGACTGGCACAGGGATCTAACCAGCCGCTCGCTTGGCAAGACGATTACCTTGCCAAGCCCAGAAAGAGATCCCCAGCGACTGAGCTCGCGGCCCTCCTCCTCCTCCTCCCCTCCTCCTCCTCCTCCTCCTCCTCCTCCTCCTCCCTCCTCCTCCCCTCCTCCTCCCCCTCCTCCCCTCCTCCTCCTCCTCCCTCCTCCCCCTCCCCCTCCTCCTCCTCCTCCTCCTCCTCCTCCTCCTCCTCCTCCTCCTCCTCCTCCTCCTCCTCCTCCCCCTCCTCCCCCTCCCCCCCCCCATCCCGCGCTGCCTTCCCTGCTCCCCCTTTCTCCCCCTCCCTTCTCCTCCTCCTCCCCCTCCTCCCCCTCCTCCTCCCCCTCCTCCTCCACCTCCTCCTCCTCCTCCTCCTCCTCCTCCTCCTCCTCCTCCTCCTCCTCCCTCCTCCTCCCCCCTCCTCCCCTCCTCCCCCTCCTCCCCTCCCCCTCCCCGCGCTGCCTTCCCTGCTCCTCTTCCTCCTCCTCGCTCTGGGGCCTGCCGCTCCAGCCCGCGCTCGCCCTGCCGCCGCCGGGGCCGCGGGGCGGCTCCCTGCTCGGGCCGCGGCCCTCGCTGGCGGCCTGCGCCGCCGCACGGTGGGGGGGGCCTCCTCCTCCTCCACCGCTCCTCCTGTGGAGGAGGAGGAGGAGGAGGAGGAGGAGGAGGAGGGTGTCCTCCTCCGCTCTTCCTCTTCCCCTCTCCCCTCTCCCTCTCTGCTCTCCCCTCTCCCCCTCCCCTCCCTTATCTCTGCTCTCTTCTCTCGCCCCTCTCGCCTCGTTCCGCTCTCCTCGCTCCTCTCTCCTCCTCTTCCTCCTCCTCCTCCTCCTCCACGCTAACAAGATAACTAGCTACTGCGCTCAAGGGTGTTACCCGCTACCCCCTCGTTCTCATCCTCCGCCACTCTTCCTCCTCCCCCCCCACGCTAGCAAGCTAACAAGCTACTGCGCTCAAGGGTATTACCCCGCTCTTCCTCCTCCTGTTTCTTCTCCTCCTCCGTCTCCTCCTCCTCCTCCTCCTCCTTCATTCCTTCTCCTTATAAACAAGTCCTGCCTGTCGCACCCCGAAGCCAGTTTTAAAGGCGGGCCAGGCGTTTCGCCTGAGACTTCCTCACCACTTCTGACTCTGAAGCTGAAAGAATTCGCCGGCCCAACGGGCCAGAGGCGTGCTAAGATCTCCGGTAACTGGTTCACAATTCTTCTAATTCGGGCGCGCGGGGCGGCCCCTGGGGGTCCCCCCGGCGAAAAGTACTCCGACCGGGTCCCGGGAAGGTCTACTCAGAGATGGTTTTCCTCCTGGGTACGGCCTCTCAGGCCCCCCAGAGCGCGCCAAGAGGGCCCCAAGAGGCCCCCAAGACTGCTCAAGAGGCCCCCGAGACGCCCAAAGGACGCTCCAAGACGCCGAAGATGATCCCAAGACGGCCCAAGAAGCCGCCAAGACGCTCCAAGTGGCCTCCAAGAGGTCTCACAAGAGCGCCCCGAGAGGCCAAAATCATCAATTTTACGATGGTTTTGGAAGGATTTTGGCCTTGTCGCATTTTCGGCATTCCGATGCTCCAAGACGGCCCAAGAGGCCCCCAAGAGCGCACGAAGACGGCCCAAGAGGCCCCCAAGAAGGCCCCCAGAGAGCCCAAACGGGCCCCGAGACGGCCCAAGAGACGCCCAAGACGGCCCAAGAGAGCCCCAAGACGGCCCCAAGAGGGGCCCAAGATGGGGACCACGAACCGAAACCTCAAGCCTTCCGCTCCAAGAGGGCCCCAGGAGGCCCCGAGAGGCCCCCAAGATGGCCCAAGATGCCGCCAAGAGGCCCCCAAGAGACCCCAGGAGGCTCCAAGGAGGCTCAAAAGAGGCCCTACAAGGCTTCAAAAATGTCTCCCAGGCGCCCCCGAACGGCCTCAACAGACCCCAGGGCCTCCCAAAGAAGCATCTGGACAACGGCCCTGTTTGACCCCAAGAGCGCCGCAAGATGCCATCGGGAGGCTTCCTCCTCCGCCCTGTTCTCTTCCTCCTCCTCCTCCTCCTCCTCCTCCTCCTCCTCCTCATATTTATCTTCATCCTCCTCCGTTCCTTCTCATCCTCTTCTCCTCTTCCCCTCCCCCTCCCCATCCTCATCTTCCTCCTTCCGGCGGCGCCGAAATGGCCCCGAGCCCGCGCCGAAGCAGTAACAATCATGCAATACGGGCCGGCAGAGTGAGCGAAGCGATTAAATGGCAACAGCTTCGCAGATGGAGGGCGGGTGGTTTTCAACATGTGATTCTCGCCTTAGCGCCGCGCACATTCGTTTAAACAAATTGCAAGAATCTCACGGTTTGAAAGCGGGTCGTTTTCAACATGTGGCTCTCGCCTAAGCGCCGCGCGTGTTCGTTTTAATAAATTTCCAAAGCTTCACGGATTGAGGACTGGTCGTTTTCCACATGCGGTTCTCGCCTACGCGCCGCACGCAGTCATTTTAAACATCTGTAAGAGTTTCAAGAATTGAAGACGGGCCGTTTTGAAAATGTGGTTCTCGCTTCAGCGCCGCGCACATTCGTTTAAACTTTGCGAGAGTTTCACGGATTGAATGCGGGTGGTTTTCAAAGTGTGGTTCTCGCCTACGCGCTGCGCACATTCGCTGTCGAAATTTGCAAGAGCTTCGCGTGTTGAGGGCGGGTCGTTTTCAAAATGTGGCTCTCGCCTAAGCGCCGCGCGCATTCATTTCAAACGTTTGCATGAGTTTCGCTGATTGAGGACGGGTTGTTTTCAAAATGTGGCTGTCGCCTACGCGCCGCGCACATGTGTTTTCAAACATTCGCAAGAGCTTCACGGATTGAGGGCGGGTGGTTTTCAAAATGTGGCTCTCGCCTGAGCGTCGCGCACATGCGTTCTAAACATGTGCAAGAGTTTCACGGATTGAAGGCAGGTGGTTTTCAACATGTGGCTTTCGCTTACGCGCCGCGCACATTCGTTTCAAACATTTGCAGGGGCTTCGCGGATTGAGGGCTGGTCGTTTTCAAAGTGTGGCTGTCGCCCTAGCGCCGCGCACGTTCTTCGTTAAAAAATGCAAGAGCTTCACGGATTGAGGGCGGTTCCTTTTCGAAATGTGGCTCTCGCCTTAGCTCCGCGCGCATTCCTTTAAACAAATTGCGCAACATTCCAATGATTCCCACGATCAGCATACCAAAAATGGTGTTCAGGAAGGATTCAGGATTACGCGGGTGCAACAGTTATGCTGAGTCCCGGTGTCGAAATCCAAAAAATCGTCATGACACGATTTCGTATCGCCAAAACGCAGCAATCAGGCTGATACGTGGCATTGTACTCCCGAGAACAATGTTTTGGCATGCTTCAGGGTATTCAAACGGTTGTCTTCCAACGAGGCAGTTCCCTCAATGGACATGAACCGTTGTAGGGGCCTATGACGGGGGAGCTTGGAGGGAGGGTGAATACCAACCTCGTTGATGAAGCTTGGGTTTGCATTGGTCCTCCTCCTCCTCCTCCTGCTCCTCCTCCTCCTCCTCCTCTTCCTCCTCCTCTTCCTCCTGCTCCTCCTCCTCCTCCTCGTCCTGCTCCTCCTCCTCCTCCTCCTGCTCCTCCTCCTCCTCGGCCACTTCAACCCAAGTGCGATGCAAGCCGGTTGATCCGTGGCACTCCATAGCAGGCCCGGTCCTTCCTTCCTCGGCACACGCGCGCGCCGCAGGTGGTTTGGCGGCTGGCCGCCACAGTGCAGCTTCCAGCCACGATCGGGGCGTACAGTCGGGGCGTTCACCTAAGGAACCCTAAATAAGGAACGAGGCCCCTTTCATCCACAAATTGAATTTCGATTTCCCATCGAAAACCAAAGGAAAACCCAAGGCAACTTTGAAGCAATCAAGGAACACGGAGCCCCTCCCCAACGAAAAGGGTGCCTTTTGCAGGGCCCCGGCTGTACAACCCGTTGGCTGCGAATTCATGGAGCCGACTTGGCAGGCGCGAAACAACGGATTACCCGCGGCGCGACCATTCGGCGAAGGTGTATGGGAACGAGGACCTTGCACGAGGCTGGGTGGGAGGTGTCGCCGCTCATGAACTCTTCCTGTGGCTGTGCGGCTGTGTTTCCTCACGTACTGGAGCCTGCCCACCACCCCAAGACTCGTGACCCACGTGTGCGCTGGGACACTGACAGGCTCATGAGATGCCTCCGAGGGGGGCTCGGCCGCTCTGCCTCTGTGGATGCCGTGGAGGAGCGTCTTCGTGCCGATGAAGGGCACGTGGCTGAGCTACTGCGGAGCAGCACTGCAGACGATATCTTCGATTACTTCAACATTCTTCTTCGCGACGTGGGCAGAGCACACTTTGGCGCTGAGGCTGGACGTGCTTGCTCCCATATGGCTGATGAAAAGGCTTCGGCTACTTGCCCTACGACGAGATCTACGCCTCCTCCTGGCTGAAGCTCCTACGGCGGAGCAGGAAGTGGAGGTGGCGGAGGCTCTCAAGGAGGCCACCAAGGCGAATAGGGCCTACCTTGCTGCGGAGGGTCGGCGCCGGCGTGCTGGGCTCGTGGACGAGGCGCGTGAGCTGTGGCAGCAGAAGCGCGTCTCCGATCCCCCCGCCTCTTCAGGCGGGCCGCGGGCTCGCGCTTCGGGCCCAAGAAGCGGGACTACCTCTCGGTGCGCGGGGTCGTCGACTCGCCCAAGCAGCCGATTGAGCAGTTCGCGAAGCCAGGCCCTGAGGGCGGCATGGCCGCCACCGTGGCGCTGTGGCGTAGTGAGCGTCTCTCTTTTCGCCCGCCGTCGCCGCCGCCAGTCGCTGCACGCAGGATTGCAGCGGCGGCTGACAACTCTTCCTTTCGCAAAGGACTCAGGCAAGCGAGCAGGCGTCGATCTGTCCCTGAGTTGGCCGTGCCACTCGAGCTGTGGTGGCTGATGTGCCACCCGAGCCGTGGGGTCTCCAGGCGCGGCGCGGGCCCCGGCGCCTCGGCGGCGCGCGCCGAGGCCCGTCTCTCCCGCGAAGCTCCATTTGATAGCTCCGTGCTCTTTCGTCGCTCCTCCCGTCTCCCAAGTCGCTGGCATCGAAGCAGCGGTGCGCTAATCCGCTCGAGCCGACGTGGCTTGAGGGAGGAGGAAGATGTTGCTTTTGGGTTTTGTTTGACGTTCAACTGCGCCATGAACACGAGAGCGCAGCCGTCGATAATGAAGCCACCCCTATCCCAGGCCTTCCCTGGGCGAGGGCCCCCCCCAAAAACTTCGCAGCTGAAAAATCAACCACTGCGATTCTGGCGCCGAGCACTGGCCGCGCTCCAGCACGGCGTGGGCGCTCCGCGCTCACCCGACGCGGCAGCGCGCTCCGCGCGCCGCCGCGGTCTCCTCCGGCCCAGCCCCAGCGGGGGAGTGGACCGCAGCGACACTGTGAACCCCGGGGGGAAGAGAGAAGAGGAGAGGGAGAGGGGGGAGGAGGGAGGGGCCAGGAGAAAGGAGGAAGGAAGGGGCACAATCCCACCGCGGCCTACCCCCCTTCCCCGGGGGGGCGACCCCTCCCGCCTCCGCCAGTCCTCCGGCTGGTCGCCGGCTCCACTTCTACCCCGCCGATACAGGCGGCGCCGACCGCCCACCAGCTCCGCTGGCGGGGGT